GGGCATTTTTGTTTAGGGGGGGACAATGTTTTTCAGGGTTTGGGCAATGTTGACATGGGGGAAATGTTTTCATTGGGGGAATGTTTCAGGGGGCAGTGTTTCAGGGGGACATGTTTCAAAGGGGGAAAAGTGTTGTAGGGGGGACAAGTTGTCAGGGGGGACAGGTTGTCATTTTTGGAAAGTTTTGTTTAAAGGGTGGAAAATGTTGTCCCGGGACGACCCGTGTTTCCCGGGTGGGCAATATTTTCAGGGTGGACAGTGTTTTTCATGGGAGGACAGTTTTTTCCGTGTTTGGGCAGGTTGTAGGGGAACCCACAGCGTTGTCTGGAGGACAATAATTTTTAGGGAGGACAAGTTTGTTTAGGGGTGGACATTATTTTTTCAGTGAGGACCAGTGTTGTTTAAAGGGGGGCAAATGTTTTTAGGGGAAACGTGGGTTTTCAGGGGGAGACAATGTTGTAGGGTGAACCTTTTTGTCAGGGGGAAAACAGTGTTGGGGCCCAAAAGTTTCAGTATTTTCAGGGAGGGGAGTGTTGTCCGGGAGAAAAGTGTTGTCAGGGTGGGCATTTTTCAGAGTGGACAGTGTTGTCAGGGTTTAACAGTGTTGTCAGGGTGGACATTTTTTTCAGGGGGGACAGTTTTTTGTCAGGGGGGACAGGTTGTCAGGGGGTGCAGGTTTTTTCAACGTTTACGTGTTGTCAGGTTCGAACCCCTGTTGTTAGGGGGGGAAGGGGTTTTCAGAAAATTTTCCACACACAGAAAAACACATGCAGAACTAGCAACCCCCACACACAGTAAGACAAAAAACACAACTAGCACATCCCACAAAAAAAACAGTACAAAAACTAGCCAAACCCCAACACACGAAGACACAGTACACAAAAATGCTATCCCCACAAAAGTATGACCATACACAACTAGCACCACCACCACAGTAAGACACAAATTTCACAACTAGCACCATCACACACTGTAAACAAAAGTACCCCAAAAAAGCATCATCACAAAACAGTAAGACACAGTAACAAACAAACATCACACAAACAGTAAGCACAGTACAAAACTAGCATATCACCACAGTTTAAAACACAGTCACAAACTAGCCCACCACACACAGTAAAAACACGTAAACAAAATAGCACCATCACACACTGTAAAAAACAGTACACAACTATCATATCAAACCCCACAGTAAGACAAAAGTACCAACTAGCCATCACCCCCCCTTTAAAACACAGTACACAACTAAACCAAAAACCCCCACACACAGAAAAAAAACAGTACACAACGCACATCACACAAAAGTTTAAAATACGTTTCCAAAAACTAGCACCCCCAACACAGTAAACACAGACACAACTGCAACATCACACAAAAAGTAAGGGCACAGTACACAACTAGCAAAATCACACACTTTTTAAAGGGAAAAAGTACACAAATAGCATCATCAAAACCCCAGAAAAACACAGTACACAACTAGCACCAAACCCCACACAGTAAGACACAAATACACAACAAACATCATCACACACAAGGGAAGACAAAGTAAAACAACTAGCACCACCACAACCCCGTAAAGACACAGCAAAAACAAGTAGCACCCCCACACACAGTAAAAACACGTACAAAAACTCGCCCCACCACCCACAATTTAAAACACAGTTTCACCAAATAGCATCATCAACACATAAGAACATTTAAAAACTAGCATCAAAAAAAACACAGTAAAACACAGTTTCAACAACTAGCAAACATCACACACAGTAAGACCAGTACACAAATAGCATCCCTCCCCACCAGTTAAAAACCAGTACACAAAATAGCATTTATCACGCACAGTAAGACCCCAGTAAAACCCCAAATACATCATCACACACAGTAAGACACAGTACACAAAACATCATCACCACAGTAAGAACATTTCACCAAAAGGGATCATCACGCACAGTAAGACACAAATACACAACTAGCATCATCACACACAGTAAGACAAAAGTAAAACAACTACTTTATCACAAAAGTAAAACCAGTCACAAACAGCATCATCACCAAAAGTAAAAACACAGTACACAACTAGCACATCCAAACGGGAAGACACATAAAAACAAACTAGCATCATCAAACACATTTAAAACACCGTAACCCCAAACTAGCATCTTCAAAGCACAGTAAGGGCACAGTACACAACAAACATCACACCACAGTAAGACACAGTACACAAAATACAAAACATCCGCACAGTAAGACACAGTACACCCCAAATACCCACCCCACACAGTAAACAGTTCACCCAAATTGCACCAAACCCCACACAGTAAGACACATCTTTAAAAAGGAATCAAAAGGACCCTGACACCGTATCGTTAAAGGCCCCCTATTGGAGTATGCGGGCACCGTTTGGGAACCCCCCCCTAGCTAAGCACGTAAAGAAAACTAACAAAGTGAAAAAGGGTTTTCAACAAGACTTTGGCCCGAGTAAAAAGGGGAGTCCTTCGGGAGAGGGTTTAAAGGGGAAAACAACCCCGACTACACTGGGACAGGGAGATAGAGGGGACAAAAAAACAAAATACAAAAAACGAGTGGAATTGACAAAGTGGACAAAAACCCGGATGTTCCAGAGATTGGGCTGAGTACAAGGGGGACACAGTTGGGAAAATTTAAAAACAAAGATGAATGACAGGGGTGTTAGGAAATATTTCTTCAGCCACAGAGTAGTCGGGGTGGGAAAAGGGTTGGTTAAACGATGTAGTGGAGGCAGGACCCAAAAATAGCTTTAAGCAGAGTATGGGTTTAAACTCACGGCTAGGGAGAGGGCCTATTAGCGACCAGTGAAAAGGCGGGGGGCCCGGAGCTTTTGGACTCGGGCCCCCGCAACCTCAAATAGGTGATTGCAAATACAAAGTGTAACACCTACGGAGGGTGGCCAGGTTGATGTAGTTGGAAGGTGACATTTTTGGGGTAGGTTGTGGTAGGAGACAACCAGCATGGTGGTCACTCGCCCCACCCGGTAGAGTCAAATCAGGTTGTTTCACTGTTGTAAAACCTGAGTCCCCACCGGGAAGGGCAACCCCCCAAAAAACCGGGGGAAGGGGACTCCCGTTCCCGGGTTAAAAAACGGGTGAAACACCTCACCTTTTCTGACTCACCACCACACTGTAAATTATCAAAATGGTAGTGAACAATGATACACCGTTTTTATACCAAGTGGTAAATGAACAATGTTACACTGTTTTTATACCAAATGGGGGATTTAAAAATGTTTTCACTGTAAAAATTTTACCAAGTTGGGAGTGAACAATGTTTTCACTGTTATTACACCCAAATGGTTTTGTGAACAATGTTACACTGTATATCCCCAACCCTGGAAAAGGGAACAAAGTTTAAAATGTATATTAAACCCCAAATGGTGTGGAACAATTTTTACAATGTAATTAACCAATGGAAAGGGGAAAAATGTTTCATGTATATTACACCCAAATTGGAAATGAACAATGTTTTCAAATGTATATTTCACCAAGTGGTAGTGAACCCAAAGTTACATGTATATTTAAAAACCAAAGGAAGTGAAAAAATGTTTTCCCCGTATATTTTTACCAATTGGAAAGTGAAAAATGTTACACCCCCCCGTTATTACACCCCAAATGGTAGTGAACAATTTTTCACAGAAAACGTTCAAAAAGAAGGGCTGTTAGCAGGATGTGTAGCAGAAGGGGGGGGGGGGGGTGGGGGGGTTTTGGGGGGGGGCTTTTTTTTAACCAAAAAAATTTTGGGGGGGGGGGTACAGAAGACTGTGTTGCAAAGACTGTTGGGAAAAAGCAAAGACAGTGTAGCAGAAGACTTAAAAATTGGGGCAGAAGACTGTGTAGCAGAAGGGTGTGTAGCAGAAGAATTTTGGGAAAACAGAAGAACCCCGTGCAGCAGAAAACGTGGCAAAGACTGTGCACAGAAGAAAAGTGTGCAGGGAAACTGTGTTTGCAGAAGACTGTTCCCGAAAAACTGTAGCAAAACTGGGGCAGAAGAAGTGCAGCAGAAGACTGTTTCAGCCCGAAGAAATGTTTTAGCAGAAAAACTGTGCAGGAAAGACTTTGTACAAAGACTGTGTAGCAAAGAATGTGTAGCAAAAAAAACTGTCGGGAGAAGACTGTGTACGAAAACTGTGCGGCAGAAGACTGTGTAGCAGAAGACTGTGCGGGAGAAGACTGTGTAGCAGAAGACTGTCAGCAGAAGACTGGAGCAAAGACTGTGCAGCAGAAAACTGTTAGCAGAAGACTGGCAGCAGAAGACTGGCCAAGACTGTGCAGCAGAAGACTGTGCAGCAGAAAAATGTGCAGCGAAGACTGTGCGGGGAGAAGACTGTGTAGCAGAAGACGTGCAGCAAAAACTGGCAGCGAAGATGTGTAGCAAAGATGTGCACAGAAGACTGCGTAGCAGAAGACTGTGCAGCAGAAAAAACTGTGTACAGAAGACTGTGCAGCAGAAGACTGTGCAGCGAAGATGTGCAGCAGAAAAAGTGCAGCAGAAAAACGTGCACAGAAGACTGGCGCAGAAGACTGGAGCAGAAGATGGCACGAAGCTGTGTAGCAGAAGACTGTGTGCAGAAGACTGTGTAGCAGAAGACTGTGCAGCAGAAAACTGTCACAGAAGAGTGTAAACAAAGACTTCAGAGAAACTGTTAGCGAAGCTGTGCAGCAAAGACTGGCAGCAGACGGTAGCAGAAGACTGTGCGAAGAAGACTGTGCAAGAAGAAGTGCAGGGAGAAAAACGTGTCAGAAGCTGTGTACGAAAACTGGGGTTTGCAGAAGACTGGCAGCAAAGACTGTGTGCAGAAGACTGTGTACAGAAACTGTGCGCAAAGACTGTGCAGCAGAAGATGTTACAAAGACTGTGTAGCAGAAGACGTGAGCGAAGACTTGTAGCAGAAACTGTGCAGCAAAGACTTTTAGCAAAATGGTAGAGAAACTGTTAGCAAAGCGTGCAGCGAAACGGCCAGAAGACTGTGTTCAAAGACTTGCACAGAAGACTGTGTAGCAGAAGACTGTGCAGCGAAAACTGTGCAGCAGACTGGTAGCAGAAAACTGTGCAGAAGAAGACTGTGCAGCAAAGACTGTGCAGCAGAAGACGTGTACAAAGACTGGTAAGAAACTGTGTGCAGAAACTGTGCAGCAGAAGCTGTGGAGGACTGTGTACAGAAGACTGTGCAGCAGAAGGGCTGGCAGCAGAAAACTGTGTACAAAGATGTGTAGCAGAAGACCGGCACAAAGGGTGTGCAGCAGAAGCTGTGAAGCAGAAAACTGGGCGGCGAAGCTGTGCGGCAGAAAACTGGCAGGCAGAAGACTGTGCGCGAAGGCTGGCAGCAGAAGGCGTGCGCAGAAGGTTTGCGCAGAAAATGTGCAGAGAAGACTGTGCGGCAAAGACTGTGTAAAAGACTGTGTAGCAGAAGACTTGCCAGAAGACTGTGCAGCAAAGACTGTGTAGCAAAGACTGTGTAGCACAAAACTGTGAGCAGAAACTGTGTAGCAGAAGACTGTGTAGCAGAAGACTGTGAGCAGAAGACTGTGCGCAGAAGATGTGTAGCAGAAGCTGTGTAGCAGAAGGTGTGCAAAAAGAAGGCGTGAGCAGAAGGCTTTGCACAGATGACTGGCAGCAGAAGGTGGCACAGAAGGCGTGCGGCAGATGACTGTGCGGGCAGAAGACTGTGCCCCAAAACACTGTGCAAAGAAGGCTTTGCAGCAAAGATGTGCGGCAGAAGATGTGCGGCAGAAGAGGTAGCAGAAGACTGGGGTAGCAGAAGACTGGCAGCAGAAAATGTGTAGCAGAAGACTGTGAGCGAAAATGTGCAGAAAGGCTGTGCAGCAGAAGACTGTGCGCAGAAGACTTGCGGGAGAAGACTGTGCGGCAGAAAATGTGCAGCAGAAAACTGTGCGCGAAGGTGTGCGCAAAGAATGTGCGGCAGAAGACTGGGGCAGAAGACTGTGGGAGCAGAAGACGTGTAGCAAAAACTGTCAGCAGAAACTGTGCAGCAGAAACGTGTAGCAAAGACGTGTAGCCAAGACGGGTAGCAAAGACTGTGTAGCAGAAGACTGTGCAGCAATAGACGTGTAGCAGAAACTGTTTCAGCCAAGACTGTGTAGCAGAAAAGTGCAGCAGAAACTGTGTAGAGAAACTGCAGAAAACTGTGTAGCAAAGACTGGTAGCAGAAGACTGTGTAGGAAAAAACTTTGTAGCAAGACTTGCGCACTAGACTGTGTAGCAAAACTGTGCAGCAGAAGACTGGTTTTCAAAGACTGTGTACAAAGACGTGTAGAGAAGACGTGCAGCCCAGACTGTGTAGAGGAGACTGTGAGGCAAAAACTGTGAGCAAAGACGGCGGGAAAGACTGGGTTTTAAAAAGATGGACAAAGACTGGTAGCAAAGACGTGTAGCAGAAAAACTTGGGGAGCAGAAGACTGTGTTTCAAAGACTGTGCAGCACTAGAAGTGTAGCAAAGACGTGCAGCAGAAGACTGGTACAGAAACTTGTAGCAGAAGACTGTGCAGCACGACTGTGACAGAAAAATGTGCAGCAGAAGACTGTGCACAGAAGACTGTGTAGCAGAAGACTGTGCACAGAAGACTGGGTACAGAAGAGGGCGAAGAAAGTGTGCAAAGATGTGCAGCAGAAGACTGTGCAGCAAAGCTGTGCAGCAGAAGACTGTGAGGCAAAGACTGTGAGCAGAAAATGTGTAGCAGAAAACTGTGCAGCAGAAGACTTGCTGCAGAAACTGTGCAGCCTAGGCTGTGTAGCAGAAGATGTGCAGTCAAGACTGTGTAGCAAAACTGGCAGCACTAGACTGGTAGCAAAGACTGTGTAGCAAAACTGTGCAGCACTAAATGTGTACAGAAGACGTGCAGCCTAATGTTAGCAGAAGACTGTGCAGCGAAGCTGTGAGGCAGAAGACTGGGCAGAGACTGTGCAGCAGAAAACTGGCAGAGAAAAATGTGTAGCAGAAACTGTGCGGGAGAAGACTGTGCACAGAAGACTGTGCAGCAGAAAACTGTGCAGAAAAAGACTGTGAGGCAGAAACTGTGTAGCAGAAGACTGTGCACCTAGAATGTTGCAGAAAGATGTGTACAGAAACGTGTAGCAGAAGATGTGAGGCAAAGCTGGTACAAAGATGTTAGCAGAAGACTGTGCAGCAGAAGACTGTTAGCAGAAGACGTGCACAGAAGACTGTGTAAGAAGACTGGCAGCACTGATGTGTAGCGAAAGACTGTCGCAGAAGACGTGCAGCACTAACTGTGTACAAAAAAACTGTGCAGCCTAACTGTGTAGCAAAAAAACTGGCAGCAGAAGATGTGAGGGAGAAGATGGTAGCAGAAACTGTGCACAGAAGACTGTGCAGCAGAAGATGTGCAGCAGAAGACTGTGCGGGGAAGACTGGGGCAGCAGAAGACTTGCGAAAACTGGCAGCAGAAACTGGAGGCAGAAGACTGTGTAGCAGAAGACTTGTAGCAGAAATCCCCGTGTACAGAAGACGTGTACAGAAGACGGGTACCAAAACGTGTAGCAGAAGACTGTTACAGAAGGGACGGTTTGCAGAAACTGTGTAGCAGAAGACTGTTAAGAAGACTGTAGAAGCAGAAGACTGTGCCACTAACTGTGTAGCAGAAGCGTGCACAGAAACGTCACGAAGATGTGTGCAGAAGCGTTAGCAGATGACTGTGTAGCGAAGAATGTGCAGCCTAGAAATTCACAGAAACTTGCAGCAGAAATGTGTCAGAAGACTGTGTAGCAGAAGACTGTGCAGCCTAGACTGTGCAGCGAAACTGGCAGCGAAGACTGTGCAGCAGAAGACTGTGCGCAAAGACTGTGTAGCAGAAGACTGTGTAGCAGAAGACTTGGGGAGCAGAAGACTGTGCGCAGAAAACGTGTACAAAGACTGTGCAGCGAAAATGTGTAGCAGAAGACTGTGCAGCAGAAAACTGGCGCAGAAAAACGTGTGAGAAGACTGGTAGCAGAAGACTGTGTAGGAGAAGACTGTGCGCAGAAATGTGAAAAGATGTGTAGCAAAGACTGTGCAGCGAAGACTGTTAGCAGAAAAACGTGCACAGAAGACTGTGTAGCAAAGACTGTGTAGCAGAAAACTGTGCAGCACAAAATGTGCAGCCAAAACTGAGCAGACAAAAGTGCGCACAAGACTGTGCAGCACAAACGGCAGCACAAACTGTCAGCACAAGACGTGCCACAAGACTGAGCAGCACAAACTTTCAGCACAAGAAGCATAATTACATGAGAGACAACTCAGTAATTCAGGGGCCAAGACTGCCAATTCCTCCCCAAAAACAAGAAAGGGGTTACCCATAGACCTCTGGCTGTCTCAACACCAACAACGTATTAACACCATAAAAGTTTTAAACTCCCAAAAACGATGTTAACACCAAAAACGATATTAAAAACCCTCAACGTGTTAACTCCAACATCGATGTTAACACCAACATCGATATTAACACCTAACAGTGTTAACTCCAACAACGATGTTAACACCCAAAAACGATATTTTCACCATCACGTGTTTAATCCAAAAACATGTTAACACCACAACGATATTAAAACCCCTCAAAAGGTTTTAAATCCCCCAAAAACGATGTTAACACCAAACGATATTAACACCATAAAATGTTAAATCCAAAAACGAGTTAACACCTCAACGATATTAAAACCCATCAAAATGTTTAAATCCAACAACGATGTTAACACCAACAACGATATTAAACCATCAAAAAGTTTAAATCCAAAACGATGTTAACACCAAAAACGATATTAACACCCCAACATGTTAAACCAACAACGATGTTAAAACCAAAAAACGATTTTAAAACCCCTCAACATGTTTAACACCAACAAGATGTTAACAAAACCCCAACGATATAACACCATCAAAAGTGTTAAAAACCAAAACGAGTTAACCCCCCAAAAACGATATTAACTCCATCAACAATTTTTCCCAACAACGATGTTAACCAACAACGATGTTTAACCCCAAAAAGATATTAACTCCATCAAAAATGTTAACTCCAACAACGATGTAACACCCAAAAAACGATATAACACCACCAACAGTGTTAACCCCAACAACTGTAAACCAAAAAACGAATTAACCCAACAAAAAATGTTAACTCCTACAAGAGTTAACTCCAACAACGATGTTTTAAAACCCAACAAACATTTAACTCCATCAACAATTTAACCCCAAAAACGAGTTAACTCCCTCAAAAGAGTTAAAAACCAACAACGATATTAACACCATCAACAGTGTTAACTCCAAAATGTGTTTAAACCAACAACGATATTAACACCATCAACAGTGAAAACCCCAAAAACGATGTTAACACCAACAACGATATTAACACCATCAACAGTGTTAACTCCCAAAAACGATGTTTTAAAACCAAAACGAATTAACACCATCAACATGTTTAAATCCAAAAACGAGTTAACACCAACAACGATATTAACACCATAACAGTGTTAACACCAACAACATGTTAACCCAAAACGATATTAAAACCCTCAACAGTGTTTTAAAACAACAACGATGTTAACACCAACAAAAATATTAAAATCCATCAACAAAGTTTAAATCCAACAAAGATTTAATCCCAAAAACGATGTTTTAAAACCAACAACGATTTTAACTCCAAAACATTTAAAACCAACAACGATATTAAAACCATCAACAATTTAAAACCAACAACGATATTAACACCATTACAGTATTACTCCAACAACGATGTTAACACCAACAACGAATTTAAAACCCAACAGTGTTAACTCCAACAACGATTTAACACCCAAAAACGATTTAAAAAACTATCAACAATGTTAAATCCAACAACGTGATAACCCATAAAGTTAACTCCCAAAAACGATATTAACCCACAACAATGTTAACCCAACAAAAAGATGTTTTTAACCCTCAATGTTAACTCCAACAACGATATTAACTCCAAAAAAATGTTAAAAACAAGATCAATGTTAAAACCAAAAAGGGTTAACACTAACAATATTAATCGAACAAAATTTTAACACCCAAAAACGGGGCGTTAAAATCAAGAACAATCTTAACACCAAGAACAATATTAACATAAACAATATTAATACAACAAAATTTTTAAAAACCAAGAACACGTTAACAACAAGACAATCTTAACACCAAGAACATTATTAAAATAAACATATTAACACCAACTCACATAAACACAATATTAAAACCCGAAGTTAGCACGAACAAAAATGTTAAACCAAAACAATGTTTAAAAACCAACACAAAGTTAACACCAACAATCTTTACATCATCAATTTTAACACCAACAAAAAATTTTTTAAAAAAAAACAACAACTTAACACCCAAAAACATGTTTTTCACCACCAAAAAAATTTGCACTAACAACGTTTAAAACCAAAAAAAATGTTAAAATGAACAACAATGTTTAAAACCAAAAACAATGTTAAACAAAAAAACAATGTTAACACGAACAAAAATGTTTACCATCAACAACAAATTTTTTCACCAAAAGTTAACACTAACAACAATGTCACACCAAAACAATGTTAACACTAACAACAACGTTAAACTAACAATAAAGTTAACACCAACAACAATGTTAAAAAACAACAATGATAACACCAACAAAAATGTTAAAACTAACAGCAATGTTTAAAACTAACAGCAATGTTAAAAACCAACAAAAAATTTTTAAAACAACAGCAATGTTAAAAACCCAAACCGATGTTAACACCAACAACAATGTTAACACCCAAAAATATAACTCCAACAATAGCGTTAACACCAACAAAAGAAAAACCAACAAAGTTAAGACGAACAACAATGTTAAACACCAACAACAATTGGGAAAACCAACAAAAATGTTAACACCCAACAACAAGTTAACACCAAACAGAATGTTAACACCAACAACAATTTTTAACACCAACAAAAATGTTAACACCAACAAGAAGTTAACACCAAAAAGCAAGTTAACACCAAAACAATGTTAAAACCCAAAAACATTGTTAACACCAACTACAATGTTAACACCAACAAAATGTTAAAACCAAAAACAATGTTAACACCAAAAAACATTGTTAACACCAACTACAATGTTAACACCCAAAAACAATGTTAAACCCAACAACAATGTTTAAAACCAAAACAATGTTAAAACCAACACAAAGTTAACACCCAAAAAAATGTTAACACCAAAAACATTGTTAACCCAACTACAAAGTTAACACCCAAAAACAATGTTAACACCAACAACAATGTTAACACCAACAACAATGTTAAACACCAAAAACATTTTTAACACCCAAAAACATTGTTAACACCAACTCATTTAACACCCAAAAACAAAGTTAACACCAACAACAATGTTAACACCAACAACAATGGTAACACCAACAACATTGTTAACACCAACTACAATGTTAACACCAACAACAATGTTAACACCAACAACAATGGTAACACCAACAACAATGTTAAAACCAACAACATGTTAACACCAACTACAATTTAAACCAAAAACAATGTTAACACCAAAAACAAAGGTAACACCAAAACAATGTAAAAACCAACAACATTGTTAACACCAACTACAATGTTAACACCAACAACAATGTTAACACCAACAACAATGGTAACACCAACAACAATGTTAACACCAACAACATTGTTAACAAAACCCCTAAATGTTAACACCAAAACAATGTTAAAAACCAAAAAACAATGCTAACACAACAACAATGGTAAAAACCAAAAAAAACGTTAAAAAACCAAACAACATTGTTTCACCAACTACAATTTAACACCCAAAAACAATGTTAACACCAACAACAATGTAGAAGAATGGTTCAGAGAACCGACATGTTGATAAATTAGACACATGTGCAACTCTTGGGTATCTTTATTGAGGAAACGTTTCGCCACACAGTGGCTTCATCAGTCCATACGTAGGAGAAACTTGAAGAACAGGAGGAGAATGAGGTAATCAGTCCCTCAACCCTTTGAGTCGATGTGGTCAGTCCATCAATCTTGAGTAGAATACGGCAGATGAGCCATACGGTTTATAAGCTGCTTCTCCGCTCATCTGCCGTATTCTACTCAAGATTGATGGACTGAACACATCGACTCAAGGTTGAGGGACTGATTACCTCATTCTCCTCCTGTTCTTCAAGTTTCTCCTACGTATGGACTGATGAAGACACTGTGTGGCGAAACGTTTCCTCAATAAAGATACCCAAGAGTTGCACATGTGTCTAATTTATCACCAACAACAATGTTAACACCAACAACGATGTTAACACCAACTACAATGTTAACACCAGCAACAATGTTAACATTAACAACAACGTTAACACCAACAATGGTAACACCAACAACAATGTTAACACCGACAGGTTGTTAGGTAAGACACATATGCAACAGTTAGACATCTTTATTCCGAAACGTTTCGCCTACACAGTAGGCTTCTTCAGTCGAATACAGAAAGTAGGCAGGAGCAGTAGAGATGTGAAGACGATGTAATCAGTCCATCACCCTTAAAGTCGTAGAATTTGAGGTTGTCAGTCCCTCGGCCTGGAGAAGTTCAGTTCCATAGTCAGGATTTATCTGACTATGGAACTGAACTTCTCCAAGGCGAGGACTGACAACCTCAAATTCTACGACTTTAAGGGTGATGGACTGATTACATGTCTTCACATCTCTACTGCTCTGCCTATTTCTGTATTCGACTGAAGAACCTACTGTGTAGGCAAAAACGTTTCGGAATAAAGATGTCTAACTGTTGCATATGTGTCTTACCTAACAACCTGTCGGTATGTATAACCATTTTGATGTTCATCTGTCAGACACTGCAACACGGGGCATCTTGGTACAAAAAAACACCTTGGACAAGCTTTTCAAGTGAGAAGGGTTGGATCTGAGAGGGACATGACCTCTCAGTGCCTCTCACTAAATACTACTCCACTACTACTACCCCGCACCTCTTTCCCTTTCCCACAGTATTTAAGTCTCCGCACTGTCGCTGATCTTCAGATAGTTCCTGACTATGGAACTGAACTTCTCCCGGCCGAGGGACTGACAACCTCAAATTTTTAAAGACTTTAAGGGGTGATGGACTGATTACATCGTCTTCACATCTCTACTTTCTCCTGCCTACTTTCTGTATTCGGGCTGAAGAAGCCTACTGTGTAGGCGAAACGTTTCGGAATAAAGATGTCTAACTGTTGCATATGTGTCTTGAAAGCTTGTCAAGGTGTTTTCTGTACCAAGATGCCACGTGTTGCAGTGTCTGACAAGATGAACATCAAAATGGTATATACAATACCGACAGGTTGTTAGGTAAGACACATATGCAACAGTTAGACATCTTTATTCCGAAACGTTTCGCCTACACAGTAGGCTTCTTCAGTCGAATACAGAAAGTAGGCAGGAGCAGTAGAGATGTGAAGACGATGTAATCAGTCCATCACCTTAAAGTCGTAGAATTTGAGGTTGTCAGTCCCTCGGCCTGGAGAACTTCTCCAGGCCGAGGGACTGACAACCTCAAATTCTACGACTTTAAGGGTGATTGACTGATTACATCGTCTTCACATCTCTACGCTCCTGCCTACTTTCTGTATTCGATGAAGAAGCCTACTTGTGTAGGCGAAACGTTTCGGAATAAGATGTCTAACTGTTGCATATGTGTCTTACCTAACAACAATGTTAACACCAACAACAATGTTAACACCAACAACGATGTTAACAACAGCAACAATGTTAAACCAACAACAATGTTAACACAAACAACGATGTTAACAACAGCAACAATGTTAACACCAACAACTTTTTAACACCAACGACAATTTTAAAACCAACAATGTTAACATTTTAACAATATTAACATTCGCAACACATATTAACATCGCAAGAATGTTAACGCCAACAATGTGTTAATACCATCACACACTGTTAATACCAGAAACAACAATGTTAACACCCCATAATGTTAAAACAAACGTTAATGTTATAATATACAGTAACGTTATTAACATTTAGAATAATGTTAGGATAAAGATCATTTTATCATATATGTATAGTAACGTTATTAACATTAACAATAATGTTAAGATAATGTTATCATGAACATTAACGTTATTAACAGTAATAACAACTTACCGATGTGGTAGAAGTTGTAGAATGTTGTCTGAAGTGTTGGTAGTGTCAGCATGTTCGTAGTGGTGCCACAGTTGCAGGTGTGTACAGTGGTGGTGGGTGAGGGCAGCCAGCAGGTGAAGCAGGTGAGGCTGGTCACCATGGATATCAAACCTCACCTCGCAGCAGCTGAGGTGTGGCAGGAGAGCAGCGTAGCTTCTCACACATTCATTACGTACGTCAATTGTTTCTCCAGTGTCAAACACGCCAGATATTTTTCTGACAATTACTGGAGACATGTTAGTGTTGTCAAGGAGGTCGAGCCACTCGTTGTTGTCTCTCACACCAGACTCTTGTAGGAGATGAACCACTTCCTGTGCAGCTGTCTCAGGTACCTGATCCAGTACCAGGTGCAACAGCCCAGCCACATGTATCAGAACATTCTGGTACTTGTTCATGTCTACCACACCTGACCTGGTGCTGTCTTCTAACACTCCCCTGACTGTGACAGGTGTGGCATGTGTAGCTGAGGCAGGTGTAGGTGTAGAATACTGTGGGTTGTTAAGCATGTTGACAATATAGAGAGCAGCGAAGTAGTCTTGTATACCCTTGTGAGGAGCTGAGTACTGCTCCTTGATGCCCAGCATCGTCCATGTTGGTCTTAAACAAAGGAACGCTGACAACACTTCTTTATAAGGTAAACACAGTTTATCACAGGTAGATATCAGTTTATCTACAGTTTCTTCCCCAAGGTTTATCTGATCACGTGAAAGACTTTCTAGCGCTGTCTTGTATATTGTTATCAAAACATTGTTAATGTTAACCTTTAGTTTCCTGTCATCCATATTCTTTGTATCTTGATGGTTGGTCAGTCTGTGTATTAACTTGTGTTTACACAGTTGATGAATATTATAATATAGCTCCGTGTGAGTGACAGATGTTAAGTTTAGCTGGTCAGGGTCTTGGTCCCAGATGTATATCATAAGAATCAAGTTCATTGGTAGTCTTAAGTGTTCTTGAAGTCCTTGTAACTTTCTTATCTTTGTTACTAGTTCTTCAGTATTTCTGTTCTTCCCTGTTTGTTTGGTTATTTCCTGGTGGTTCAGACGCACAAATTGTTCCACATTTGTCCTAGATATACCATGCAGTGTTGCATGTTGCACAGTATACTCTGCAGGGATTGTTCTCCTAAAGTTCTCAACTTTTTCTGGTCGTGAAGTGCACAGAAAAGCAATATTAGAACAGTACTTAAATTCTTGCAATAGACTCTGGACAAGTCTTCTAGAACTGTCATTGTCTTCATCAAGGCCGTCAATTATAATTAAGATCCTGCAAAGCTTCATCAGTTTCGGAAGAATATCCTTGAATTTTATAGCAACTTCTGGCATCAGTCTGTCCAGGAGTTGCTGGTAGCAGGTCATTGTTGGGTCCCGGCACTGTACCCACAGTAGAAGCTCGTAATTATCTAAGTCACTAATATTACCTTGACCTCCCTTAGTCCATTCATCTATTACTAACGTCACTAGAGTAGTCTTGCCACTGCCAGCCACACCTTCAACCAGTATTATATGTGGGGGAGTAGATGTACCTTGTTGTTGTGAAGCACTTCTTGTAGAAGTTGTTACTTGTGTAGTCTGAATAAGTTTAAGAAGGTGTTTATAACTTATATGTTGACCTTGACCTCCACGTTGTCCATGTTTGACCTCAATATCTACAAAGATTTTGTCAACTTCAAGTTTCAAGTTACTAGTGATAAAAGACACCGGGTTGACGTAGCTGATACTCTGGAAGATCTCCTTAAGTTTGACACGACTGTCATTAATCATGAGACTTTTAATTTCAATACCACAAAATTTTAGTAAGTCTTCCTTTCCAAGAATTTCCTTCATGATGTTATCCAGGTCAACATTCATCTGCTGGATCTCCTGCTGCACTTCACTCTGGTCTCTCACATACCTCTCTCCAGATGTCTCAAGACAACCAGTTAACAACTCTCGTAGTTTCGTCATATTTTCAAGATAATCTTTAACAGTAATTATAAGTTGACCGTGAAGACAATCATTCCTCATGTTCTTAACAGCAGTAATATAGTACTCCATGTGAGTACTTGCAGTAGACCATACTGGATCATGGTATGCAGCTACATCCTTACACGCTACTTTGATGCTGGCAAACAGTAGTGACACATCAAACTTTGATCCATCTGCATTCTCATCAATCATTTTCTTTTGAGTGCTGTTAAAAAATTTCAGTACATTTTCTCTTTGTGAGTTTATCAAGTATTGTCTGAGCTTCATGTCAGAGGGTTTATCCGGGGTCCCCAAGAGGAAAATCTTGTACAAGACTTTTCTACCACAGGATGTAACAGCCTTGATAAATCTGTGTCCATTAAGTTTCTTCCTTAATGAATCACCCATA